TTTGGGGGGCACATACTAAGGTCATACTAATTTACCCCTATTTCATAGCTCAAGAAACTGCTTGTCTCCATGAAATTAACTAGATGAAATATGTGCAAATAACATAAAGAGGAACAATTCAACATGCTAAAATTAGTGGTGTGCACCTGAGGGCTGTGGGATTTCAGACAAGGAAGAGATATATGTGGTTTGGGGGTGTTCAAGGATGGCCACATTAAGGAAATGGGAGGTGAGCTAGCCTTGAAGAACAGAAAGGTGGGTAGAATTTGGATAATTGGAGGAATGGGAGTGAGAGATTAGGGTCTCAAGGGATAGCATGGGCAGAGATTCAGAGGTTGGTATACATGTGATTCTTTTTTGATATTACCAAGGGATTTGGTCTGATAAGAATGCAACACTGTTGGTATGAAATGGACGGCACTCAATACCTGTCTGAAGAATGTGGATTTTGTCTTATAGGTACTGAGGGACAGTTAAAGATTCTAAGAAGGGAATTTGGACCATGAGAAAAGGGTTATAGGAAGAATGTGGACAGACTAAACAGAGGAGGACACGAAGGCTAGAGACCAGTCAAATGTAACTGAGTCTTCCTCATTTGGGGGATTGGAACAATGGGAGATGAAAATGTCTGATTGATTATTGCAGGTCCACTGTCAAAAGTATGTCAACCCAGAAATGGGAAAGGAAAGTTCAAGTGCTGTTTGTCTCTCATTTCTTCAAAAACTCTTTCTGACTCAGGACCATTCTAGGGTCTGTGGTGAGAAAGTGACCAAAATCCCACATCATTCCTGCCCTCAAATAGTTTACAATCTAGTGGAGAGAAACATACCTGCAGGTGACTAATTATAATATGAGAGAGAATGACCCTCAAAAGAATGAGTGGTGGGCTTCCCTGGTGGCGCAGTGGTTGAGAGTCCGCCTGCCGATGCAGGGGACACGGGTTCGTGCCCTGGTCCGGGAAGATCCCACATGCCGCGGAGCGGCTGGGCTCGTGAGCCATGGCCGCTGGGCCTGCGCGTCCGGAGCCTGTGCTCCACAAACGGGAGAGGCCACAACAGTGAGAGGCCCGCGTACCGCAGGAATAAAAAAAAAAAGAATGAGTGGTTAATCTTGAGTGGGAGACTGTCAGATGGCTTCCTGGTAGAGATGGCCTTTAGGAAGGTGTATGATGCTGTCAGGCTAAGAAAGAATGAGTGGTATCTACAGATTTTAACTCAGCAGAATATACTAGGAAGGAGATACTTTTAGATTCTAAAAGACTACTCTATTCATTGATATGAACTTGGTTAAATTCTACTATGTAATAGATTTGTAGACTTGCGCAGGAAATTTAGAGGTCTTTTCCTTACTTTCAGTTAGGAATAAAACTTGTGAGTTGAATATCCAGAAATAATAGAGACATTTTCTTTGTCTTCCCCTGACAACTCATTCCAGTTAATAACAACACTTTTTATCAGAAAATATGCTTAACCTGTTTAAAATTTATCTATTCCAATGTGTTTGTTCTGCTTTGATTAAAAAAGAAAAATGTATCTGATATTAAAGAATTCCATATTCATTCACTAATAAAAACATATTTGTTGAGACCCTATTAATTTTAAGGCACTCTCATAGACAATGTGGTAGCCTAAAACCAATCTGTGTTCTCAGAGTTTGCAGTCTAATTTGGAAAAGACAATATATTAAGTTACAACACACTATAGCATCTACAGCAAGGTCAGCTGATTTGTTCTATAAGAGTTCATTGGAGGAAGATATCACTATAGGTTGGGATGGCTGGAGAGGAAGGTCAAGCCAATAGCTTGACCTTGATCAGTAGGACCTATGTGGGGAGAAAAGATACTCCATTAATAAGCAACTTCAACCATTAAAGATGTCTTATTTCAATTCCACATGTTTTTAGCATCCAAAAAGATGCTAGGGATAAGAAGCAGTAAACTTATGGTTGGGAAGAAATATGTGTTATTCTCTAAAAGGCCAGAGTTCTAAGCTGAGGGTCACCAGTAAATTCCTAATTACCAAGCCCAATGTATTTGCTCAGCATTCTTTCAGTCGTAGTTATTTGAATCTTTTGATTCAATTGACCATTGTCTACTTTTGAAACTTTCTTTGTCTCCTGGATATATAAATTTTTTCTCTCTTAATCTTTTTTCTTTTAATGAATTTGATTTTTCTCCTTACTCACCAGAAGCCCTGGCCTCAGCTTTCTACGTGTTTCAGTATATTTATTGTAAATGTCTTAGTCCCATGATGTTAAATACCATCTGACTATATTTGCATGACTCTCAAATCTTTATCTCTAGCCCTGACTTCCTGGGTTTCAATTCCTCATTTCCAATGAACATTCATATACATATATATGTGTGTGTGTATATATATATATATATATATATATATATACACACACACACACACACACACATTTATCATTTTATATGAAAATACTTGTCTAAAGACAAGCTCAAGGTCTTCTCAAAATTGGATCCTTTTTCTGTTTATCTAGAAATAGCAAGTATTTGCCATGTTCTAAACATGCAGATGTGTAATCCTGAAGCCATTTTGATTCCATCACCCAGAGAATCAATTGGTTGTTAAGAAGTCATGTTACTAATTTCACCACTGTCACCACCCGAGGACAGGCTTTTTGTCACGTCACGCCTGAATTGCTACAATGACTTCCAGTTGGTCTCTCAAAGTCTAGTTTTTCTTCACAGAAATCACGGTAGTATAACATGCCCCAAACTCTTTGGTTTGTTGCTTTACATTCTCCATTTACATTTAACTTACATGTCCAGCTTCATTTCCCGTGAATTGCCTCCTAGGACCCCCTGATTCAGCCAAATCCTTTTACTTGCTATCCTCTGAATAGATATTACAATTTCTTTCCTTGGCTTACACACTCCTGTTCTGCTAGAAGGACCTTCCTCACTCCTTCACGACTACTGAAAAGGAACTTAGTTCAAATTTCACCTCCTTCATGCAGCCTTTTCTGAATATTCACCCCATAGGACCTCTCATATTTCTGTAATTTGAAATAATTATAGTTCCTACTATTTGTTGCATATTTATCACATATTTTCACTTATTGTTTATTATTTTTTCTTGTGTGTTGGTCTCATCTTCCAAATTAAATAATAGCCATGTCTAAGATTTCCTGGCCCATCTTCCAGAACATGTGCACACAAAAGTGAATAGACAGAAGACACTCAATGAATATTTATTGATCTATTTATTGACTGAATACATATGAACTATAAGGAATAGTAAATAGTATGGGAAAAGGTGAATCTTAAGGCTATGTGAAGGAACATTTGAAATTGATTTTTAAATCTTCTGAATAGGAACCATTTTTATTAACCCCACTTTAGACCTTAAGTGTATAAAACAGCTAGTAAATTGTCACTTTGTGGAATAGCGACACTTTAAATGCCTATAAAGTTAATGAAATTAGAGTTTATTTATGCTTGAGATTGAAATTTAACAATTGTCTTTAAAAGGAACATGAAGCCATTTTTGATCCTATGAGTTGGGACATTACAGAAAGTATCTAATTTGTGGTCTCTCTCTTTATTATTATGTTTTTATAAGAAGTTATTTTATCTTGTTTCTATTTTACACAGTGATGGTACCCCTACAACATAGAATATTAAAACTAGAAATATTTTTAACAAGCAACTAGTGCAATCTATTCATTTTTCAGATGTGGAAACTGAGTGCCAAGAAGGGCAATTGACTTGCCCAAGGTTGCAATCTAGTTATTGCCAGAGCTGTAGCTAAAAATCAGGATTATAGGTTCCTAATTCTATACCTTTTCCATAATCCCATATTGTACAGTTTCATTTTTGTACCTTAAATTGACATTATTCAAATGAAGGAAAACTTACAATAGTTTTTTATTATTTCTCTTATTTTATATCCAAGAATGTAAATTAGTGTGTGGTAAGTTATTAATAAGAGCATCCTAAATAGAAACACAGCATGAACAGTCTATTGTGATGTGTTTCGACATAAGGGAGATATGAATATCATCTTAATTATTTACATTTCTAAAACTTCATAAAACTGTGACTTGTTTTCATTGGTGAGTTGAGTGGAAATAGTTATGTGATTTTTTTTTTTTTTGGCTTTTGCTTTAGAAGTTAACCTTATACTGGGCACTATGGTAATATTTTTGATGGTGGTATGAAGGATTGTTTGAAACACCAAAAATACTTAGCCTTATCCAGGAAAAGAGAGGTAAACATAGTGAGTCAGTGTAAATTTGCACTAGTGACGTGAGAGGGTGTGAGAGGAGATGCTGTTCAGTTTTTGGAAAAGAACATGGAAGGTCACAATTGTCCTGAAACTCCATTCTACAGCAGTAGCAGAATAAAACAAAGCACCACTTACTACCTTCCTATTGCAATTTTTTAGCTTCATTGAAAAGAAGTGAAATGGTCTCTTCTTTATGAAACGTTTGCCTGGAAAATATTATTTAGAGGAACTAGAAGGTGCTGAGAAATAAAATGAAGATAGGATAAAAAGGAACTCAGATGATCAGTTATGAGGAATATTCACAGAATTTTGGTTTGTCGTTCTGAAGAAACATTTTACACTCTAAATTACACCATATCATTTGAATCTCAATGACTAATATCAAGGGGTGACTGGAAGAGGCATATTATATTACTATTTTCAAATTATATTTATGCAGTCTTTTAAAATACAAATTACTACCAGAAATTTGCCCAACTCAGGCTTTGAAAAGATTTTTTTAAAAAATCCAATTCAGTTTTCTTAACTGTCACAGGCAAATTAGGGTTTAAGAATAAAAGATATATTTGCTGAATAAAATACCAAAACAGAGAATTCTGAGTTGAAACAAAACAAGAGACTTGCAAAGTCTGACTTAATTGTTAAATCACAGACATACAAATGGATGGGTCAGTGTTTCTGTCCCTGACTCACTAAATCCACATGACGCAGGACAAACGTGACCTTGGTGTGGTAAACTTACTTACCTGTACCATTGTTAACTGTGGTCTGGATCGTGGCTTCCGGCCCCATAGTGTCATAGTCTTCCTTCATTTCTTCTGTGGGGGAAGATTATCTTTAGCATTTGAAAATTGTAGAAAGGCTTACTATACTAAGCATGCCTACCACAGGAACAAGGAAGATTCTTTTAAAGGAAACAGAGAAAAGGCTTGTTGTAAACCTCTAAACAATAGCTTTGTTCAGGCAACTGAATGAATCCAATAGTGCTAGCTGCACAAGAACTTATTTACTTTAAGCATTACTGCAAGCTGTGAAAAACAGAGGTGCTTATTTGGGGCAAACGAAAGGCTTTTCTTCTAGTGGCAGTTCTAGTGACAAACAGGGGGAAAGATATTATTTTTTCAATAAGAGTCAAAAGCAACTAAGTATTTGTACTGACGAAGAGGCACACTGGCTGCTATGCCTCTGGTAACACTGGATTATCAGAGACAAGTCAGAATTTCTTATTTTATTTTCATGCTTTTTTTCCCTCCTTGGAGTAGCTATGATGGTGCTAATCTATGCAAGCGAAATTTTAGAGAACCTAATTCTACATATACCAAAACTTGAAATGCCCAGTTTATAAAACAAGCATCCCAGAGGTACTGAAAACACCTGTTTCACTGTTTTATATAAACTTCTAAAACATATTTTCCTTATTCCTTTCCCTACCACTCCATAAATATCTTTCTTCCTTACCGTTAATTCCCCAGTAGGGAGTCACAGTCATTTTCTGAGGAAAAACATAGCTGTAAGAACATCTCAATGTTCTGATGAAGATGAAAATATCTAACACTGAAGTTGAAGATCTATAGATGATAAAAGGTCATCTTCTAAAACTGTAATATTTTAAAATAGGAAGAGTCTGGAAAGTAGGAGAACTCTCAAATTTTCTGCCTACCAAATTGTAGAATATGTGAAGTCAGAGGAGGACAGCTGACAGTTAAAAATCCTTCAAGAAAGTAAATTAAACATGGACTTTTAAATTTTTTATTTTTACAAAACAATACTAATGAGAACCAAACATGATCCAGGATGAATCTCTCTCTGTGATAATCATTTTGTTTAAAACAAGAGAAACTTTATAAATAGGACTCTGTGAATTCCCAAATTTATCCTGACCATTTTTGCTTATCACATTCTAGTCATAATTATTTGGTAGAAAAACAGATTCTAGCAAATGTTACAACAAAATTAAAATATATGTTTTTCAAGTAGTATCCTGCAGCATATCTGTTTATGGCATCAGAACTGAAAAATTATGAGCCTCTTAAGGTAAAGTACACAGATATAAATAGATGCTAATTTAATGCCACTGGGCATAATACTAGTCAGATAATTTGAATGATATTTGTTTAAATTCTACGACCACTTTAAATTCATTCTTGGCCCTGGACTTCTCCCTTATTTAAGGAATATTTTCACAGGGACATTTTGCATAAAACATTTAGGAGTTCAATATACAGCAATACTTTATTGTCAATTACAATAATTGATTGGTTAAAAGGCTCTCTCATCTGATATTTTTATTAGTCTCTGCAAGGAATTAAATTAAGGTATTTCTGAGAAGTTCAGTAATAGATATAAATATAACTTTTGTGTCTTTCTTCCTCGCTCCTCTCATGTGATTTCTGGTAGCCAAGAGTCAGAAGAATCATAAGTTTTCCATCTGAGAGATCAAGTCACTGAGGGGAAAACAGTTAACAGCATTTTTTTTTTTTTTTTTTTTGCATAATAGTGGTAATGTTCAAGATTTCTGCTGCACTTCCTTCCTCATTGTCATTTTCTTATGAAAACGTAAAGAGAAGTTACAGGAGGTAGTTGCTTCCTAAATTATTAAATGCTGCGTATTCATATGTGTACTTGGCACTTAGTAATACTTTAGCTATAACCCTCTTTTACCAAAGATTGTGCAACTGAGATGGTGTCACTTTCACCCAGAATGTACTTTGCTTCAATTTACTGAGCATCAAGCTTTCTCTTTTTTGAACATCAAGTTCAGGTATGTATTTTAAATACTATGCATATGCCTATTTAATTAAGTTTCACATGAATCCGTATTCAGAAGGACATCATAATGTGGGTTAGGAGTATCCCCCCTGAACTAAAGGCAATCCTGGCTGTCTTTCTGCCTCATGCCTAACCTTAAACATTTTTTTCCCAAGACACCTCTGACTCAGCATACTGTGTCTAAAACCACATAGTATATTTGTTTTTAAAACACTTGTAAAAGTTTGCGTTTTCCAGTCACCCTTGGGATGAAGGTTTATAAAAATAAAGAGCACTTTCTTCCTCGAGATGAAGAATCCTTGAATAAGCAGAAAGAGGCCAAGATGCAGGTGATTTATTTAAGTCTGTGTCAATGATAATGATGTCATGGTTTCCAGCACACTGTGTCCACCCCATTGTGGGACGAAAGAATGTCAAGGACAATTCTAAACACAAAACTTTGATTGTGCTGGAACCGGAAAGGCACAGTAAGAACTCCACTGCGCTCTTCAGTGGAAAACCTGCATCCTGCAGACAAACTACAGAAAGCATGGGAGAGAGAGCAAAAGAGAGGGGGCTTATCTCAGAGTAAAGCTATGTGCTGAGGTATGATGGTAGACAGCCAGGCACCAGGGATAAAACACTACTAAATAAAACAGCACCAGAATTAGAATTATTGTCTATATTGTATGTTTTGAACAATAAATAAGAAAAATATTTTATCAGAAGAAAAATGTGTTATCTAAGAGTCAGGATAAACAATGAGTAGCTTTTTAAGACCAATTTCTTTTCATTAGACATCAAGGCACCACATCAGAGCACTTTTGGAACAATAAAAAAAAAGAACAATAAATCATTACTAATCATTAGAACCAGACAGGTAATAGCTGGGTAACTTTCTTGGTCCAAATAGCCAAATGAGATTAGGGATTTACATTTTATTTAATTATTGTGACTCCAGAATGCTAGTTTATTTACCATAAAGGTAAGAGCAAAGAACAGCCTGTTCATTTGTATCACAGGCACCATTAACTACAGGTGATAACAGGGTCTGTAATGCATTCATATGGATTATTGTATATTAAAACATTTGGAATTATGATCCATGACCAACACAAAAAGCTGCCATGATCACAGACTACTACAGCTTGACATGGCTGTTTTGGCCCTTTTTCAACTACTGATCTTAATTTTTTTAAATTAAACTTTTTTTTTTCAGAAGTTTGGAGCTGTACATTTGTTATATCGTTAATAATTATTCCTTTAAGGGTGGAAATTCTAGTAATTGATCCTTACCCTTGATTTCTAGATATTAAAATTTAAAGCATCAGAACATTCATTCTTATAGCCCTGCATATCTAGTTCATTAACAAATATGAATAGCTAACACCAGCTCATTTAAATAGTATGTCTTACATGAGTTCTCGCCACACTCTGTTTCTGTCACACTGCTCCTAAGAATCATTGGCTCTTATTATACATGTAAATGGCTATCATAAAAATAAAAATTTCATTTAAGATTGTTAATGACTTCTGCAGCAGTCAGACTTCCTTTAATGATCATCCTCTGCCCCTAATTAAACGTATTTATCTTTCAAGCATCTTTGGCTGAGTTCTCCCTCATAGTTGAAAATCTAAAACCTTAAGTCTTAATGGATATAACGATACATGTTTATGTGTGGGATTGCTGAGATTCAGGAAACCTTCACCGAAAGCAAAATTGGAAACAGAAAGAGTACAAAACTTGGCACGGTATGTTAGGAAAACGAAAAACAAATACACTACACTCAAAGTGCCATCAGTCTTTTTTTTATCTTTTTTTCACATTTAATGTTCTTTAGTAGTGGAAGTACTTTTATTATCCTCCTTCCAGTACACCAAACAATTACTCTGCCTATGTTCGATGTTTTATAGTCTGTGACATCACAATAGCATACAGGTAGACTCTTGTACTTGTTTCCTTCCCACCCATTTCACCTATTTATAAAAATGCTATTGTTATATATATCGTGAGGAAAAAACACATAAGGTGGAGTAAATCATGATAGCGCCCACTGGGTCTTGGAACAGAGATTAAGGAGACATGAAGGTTTGAATTAGAAGGGTCATTAAAAAAAATTTTACAGGCCACCTTACCAAGTAGAGATTAGCCGAGGGAGTTTAGGGGGATATGATTAATTCTCCTTTAGTTTGTTAATCATTTCATACCTTGGTGATGTTTCATCCTAAGTGAATTTTAGACCATGACATTTCCATTTTCACAGTGGCATCTGAAGTTTTAGTTTGAATATAATTCACCTTATTTTTATTAGAGTTGGCCTTGGACCATTTCTACTTCCCCAGAGATTCCCACCAAACAGCAAGAATCATTATCAAGTACTTAGCTGTTAAATAATAAGAAAGAAAGCTACCTGACCAGGTAGAAGTGTGAAATCACATTCACACTTAACAAAAGGGAATGATTAGGTGGTTGAATTACAATAGGAGGTGTCAGACAGACACTGAAACTACTGTTGAACTGACAGTTATTTGGTTTGTTATCACTACACAAAACTTTCAAATACATATTAGTTGTGAGCTTTTATGTTTGCTTCCAGTTTCCATCCTGAGAGGATAGCTCTTGATGGTGTTGTATAATTGGCACATTGTACATGTGGTGCAAATCCTTCACGTTGTGCATTTAAAATGTAGTTCATGTTCAACTTGCGTCCAGACGGAAACATAATCCCTTCCTAAGATGTCAGTAGTGCTGTAATGTGATAACACGACTATCACTTCATAATCTGTCACCAGCTTTGGTATCTCTATTCTGCAAGGGCTCTGGAAAGAAATATTTTAACGATTTGGTTGTGGACGCTCCACTAGGTAGATGGCACAGGAAGGGGCCAAGTTGTTTTAGACACTTACCTGGACCATCTACAGAGGCTGGGAGAATGTCGTTGTTGTGCCAGGTATGTTCCACTCCACCCTCTCTTATCTCATCTTCCTCTTCCTCTCT